GTTTGATATGTTTTTAAAAAATTCTTCCAAGGATGTGATTGATAACAAGTTCCATGAAAAATGTCAACAATTTACACTGATCGGTTACTGAGTTGCAGATTTTTAAACTTGTGTACAACTTCTGGAACAGACTATAATTTAACCTCTCTCATGTGTTCCGCTTTCCCCCAACTGCTACTGTGTCCGTGTAACTCGGCTGTTATGTAGCTTTGTGTCTCATCGTTTTACATGATTTGGTGTATTCTCTTTCGTGTTTGTGATACTGCATATTTATGCCATGTACTGACGAAGACTATCTACTGCAACTTTAACTTGTTTTCGTTTGTAAAAATGTGAAGCTTTCTGGTTCGCCTTCAGTTTGATATCATTTCATGATATGTAAATAAAAGGCCAGCACCAAATGTCATGTTATTCTTACATCGCAGCTGACTTAGAATAAAACTACTGACACTTTATATGATCTCCTTCTTCTTCTTCTTTCGTTCGCTTGAAATAGATTGTCTACTTCTGCAATGTTGTCTCTTGTATGAGCTTCACTGTCTTTTTGTAATTCACTCAGCGACCCGTAAAGTTGGATTTGCATCGATATTTCTCTTGGCCAAAAGTTTTGCCTTGATATGTTGTATTTGGGACAGTCTTGGGGGACATGATTTTAAATGATCTGAACATGGGAGACAACTCTGAACGTAAACTGTACGTCTGAATGTCTCACGCAATTTTGTTATTGGTTTAAAACCCTACCGTGGCTGTTACCGGGGGCCCTAATATAACCAAACCTATATGTTGAACGACGTTTCTGTGACCTGTCCCCAGGTGATCCTCATCCGAGTGGTGGCACTTTGTGTCACAGGGTGTTTATCCCTCGGAGGGATGTCCTGGTGGGTTTGATCGTTATCATCGTCATACAGCGGTGTACTGTGTACTGTGTAGTGTTGGGTTTATTTCACCCATTGTTGGCTGAGGATTTCATATGGAATGTTTTTCCACGTTAGTTTTAATATCTTCTACATCCGCCTCGAAGGCGACATAAACGTACTTCACCGTTGTTTAAATAACATGCTTATTGATATAATACAACCGCAGCGTGAAAGACGGGTGTTTAGAATGGCCCAGTTTGAGACCCTTTGAAAATAAATGTCGTTCGTTCGTTCGTGTACTGTGTCTAACTTGGTTTGTGTTGTTATATGTAGATTTAGAAAAAAGTGGGTTAACCGTTACCAGAGAACTGGTGGTGCCTTATACCGTTAGTTGCCTGTGCAACTATTGATATTGTTTACTTGCTGCTGACACCAGCGATGACCTGCAGTTCTAGTGTCGGACTATTTGTAATTGCATTTCTGACGGCCGCCTTATACATTGAATGCGTGTGGATGGTATTCAATTTGCCGAGCCTGCAGTATTTGTCAAGTTTCTCCACAAGGGACAGTGTTAAACATTCTGTATGGTTTTCGCTGAAACAGGATCAGAGCAGTTAAGGGATGATCCGTTGCTATGAAGTTGTAACTGCAGTTATCTGATTATTTTGACCAGCTATTTTTTTAAAGAGTTCTTTTATGTAGTACGTTAACATAGCTGATGAGGGCTTTCAAGCCGCAATGTTCATTTTGTGATTCACAATTGTGTTTTGTTGGAGCGGATTAGTTCTGCTTCTTTCTCAGGTTCATTTTTTTTCTCCAAATATACTGTTTGGTTAGAACTCAAAATGATGATACGTCAGATCCTTTCATGGCTGCTCTGGAAGAGACCTGTTTTAGGAAAATTTGCAATTATTTTTATCATTTTAAAGTTTCTGGTTGTTCGGTTTGGTGACGTCAGCAGCATGGCCTATTAGATGGAGACGGTCTTGCATAGACTCACAGCCTCCCCAGCAAGCATGTCGTAGGAATCGACTAATTGGGGACTTCCTTCTAAGTCGGAGTGCATCTGCCCGAACGGCAAGAAACAACCAGCGCCCACAAATAAGCCAGTAAAACTCAGGCCCTGGTACAATGCCAAAGTCCAATGGACGAACAACCAGGACTTTTCGCCGGAGTTTACAGCCGGTAGATAAATAAGAAGAAGAAACAAGGACAAGGATGCAGAAGCCGGTTGTAGTAAACAGAAAGAAGAAACGACAGTCCACTCCTACTGGGTACCTTGATCACGGAGACACTGCGACGGCTGCAGCCTCTCAAGACGGAGCACGAGTGGGTCAGACCGATGTGCTAGGATGTTGATACAGACAACGAGTAACAAGAAAACGGATCCCTGCTGGGTTTGCCATGACAGCAGTGACTCGATGGTTCAACAATCATTTTAAATCCATTTGTTAGCGTTTAAAATTCGTCAGCTGAGTAGTTAGTCTTTCCTCAGGAGGAAATCACGCCTGGGGGTGGGGGCGGGGGGGGGGGGCGGGAGTGGCTTGGGGTTCAAAGGCCATTGGAAAATCTTTAGTGCAATACAGCCTAGCATACAACACCACAACATCTAGAACGAGAATGGACGTGGAGGCTTTAACTGCAGCTCTCCAGTGGCTAGAGAAAAAGATGCATACACATGTCGTAATTGTAACAGACTCTGAAAGCATGCTGAAAAAGGTGAAGACAGGGATGCTTCGAGCAGAGTGGCAAGCTTCACTGGAACGGTCACGGGTAGTGAGCTTACATTTGATCTTTTCTCCAGGCAATGCCGGCGTAGTGGGTAATGAACAGACAGACTGACTGGATCTGCACCACTGGGGGTGAAGTGACGCATGACAAAGCAGATATGGCTAAGGCCCTTTGGGAAAAAGCAACGGAATCAGTAAAAACAGAAGATTATTATGGCCTGAAGAGAATGAGGCATCTGGGTGTAACCAGAGGGTCTGGCCGGCTCACTACACTCAGAGGAAAGGCAAAACAGACACATAACCAGATTGTGACCGGTACCATCAGTATCAGAACTCTGCGCAGGCTGCTGAAGATGAGGACGGAGCATGCATGGGAATGCTCCGAGTGCTGCGATGTCAATTATTAACTCAACTCAGTTCAACTCAACTCATCAAGAGGCTAGGGCAGCGCATAACGCAGAGGCCATAGCTCTCCATGTCTGGTGGTTCGTTGCCACCTGTTTTAGGTCTTGGGTGTTTGTTAGGCTCATGGTTGAGCCTTTCCTGATGATGGTTCTACGTAGGGTCTCACTTGGTCTTTACCATCTTCTTTTCCCTTCCGTTGTCCATATGAGGGTTTAATGGGCGAGTCTTGTCCTATCCATTCTGAGTACATGGCTGATGTAGTTGATATAGTTCAAGTGGCGCTTTCTTACAAAACTGCAAACAATATCTTGCTTGGTCTCTTGTCTAATTTGCATATTGGATCTGAAATCTGTCCGTGAGATTTAGTAAAGTGCATTTGTGGATTTTACTGTGGTCTGTTACTAAACCATTTTGAGTTCCGAACCACACCAAACAGGAAAGGGCTCTTTGGCAAGGTGTCCAAGTCGTTTGCCTCGCGCTCCGAAGATCTTGGGTTCATTTCGCGGCTACGTCGTTCTGTTCACGCATGCAAATTTTCCGGAGATACTTGGGGATCGTCGCCACAGCTACAGTGTTCATGATTTGTGCAACGCTCTCGGCAAGCGGCTGACCGTTGTACTGAGCAAGATCGAGCCACAAATCCGTTGCAATGAAGTTCATCCTGTAAACTTTATTTAACCTTGAACCTTTTTACCGCACAATGCCAGTTAGAGGGGAGTAGCCGTGGCGATGGCGGCTAGATGCCCGTCTGACCTTGACTTTCAAGTCGACCCAGCCTTGAGTGGGTACCAGGTATAGTCATGGGAAGCAAAGGCAGCCGGCATGATGCTGACTCCATCACCCATCCAATGCCGATTTGTCTATAAAATATAGGTCTAGTCCTATATTCACAACACGCTTCAAGGCCTGGGAAAGGGACATTTTTTTGCCAAGTGGATACATATTGAATTAGCTTCCAGACCGCCCCGCCCTAAAATGCCCTGGTAAATACAGTCAGTCAGGACCGCTTTTGAACAAACACATTGTTCTGCACTTCAATAAAAAAAAGCCGGATATTTTTAGCGTTTTCTGACCAAACACGAAGTTTAATAACAAACAAGGAGATTTATTTCATGAAATCGGGGAATGGCTAACACGTTGGTTGGGACACACAAAATTACCTACAAAACGACTTCTGAATCATTCAGCAGTTAACCGAGAGTTGGAACTCAAAATACTTTCATTCCTTTGTGGGTTCCCAGTGTGGGTTCTGGGGTCCCATTGTGGCGGGAACAAGAACAGACCCAATGTCTCCGCAATAAGCATGTCGTAAGAGTCGAATAATTGGGAGCTTCCTTCAAAGTCGGAGTGCATCTGTCTGAGAGGCAAGGTACCTGCATACAATAAGCAAGATCTGTGAAACGGATGCACACGTAAAACTTAGGTCTTGGAGCAAAGTCAGCCTAGAAATGGACGAACAACCAAGTCTTTCAGCCAGGTTTACAGCCAGTAAAATAACAACACTGTGTGGGTTCCCTGGTCGCAGTTTGGGAAAGGGGGGGGGGGAGTAGACAAAGCGCCCCCTTGACAAGCATGTCCAATAAGTGCCTGATTAGGGATTTAATTCTTATGGGAAATAAATATATATCGCAGCCTAGCTGTTGGTCACAAATGCAAATTGAGGGGGGGGGGGGAGAGTATTATTTTTCTTGATGCTGCTTTAGATGTTCAGAAAAAGACCTTGAATCGAAGACAAAAATCAGAAAGAAGCAATCATTTTTTTATTTGACCATGTTAAGAGAAATAGCAAACTGGAACATGTTGTGATAACTGGAAAGATTGATGTAAAGAAAGATAAAGATAGACACCCTTATACAATTCTGAACCATCTTTTTGTCTTTTTTGTGGCATATAAAGAACCAGCGAATTGATACATAGTGTTGGAAATCGCAAGATATAGAGAAGCATGATCGACCACGCCGGTAGATAAAGATATTTAATGATTCATTATGATCATTGCGATACAAATTTAAATATCTGTAGACTTAGGTCTGCGACTTTCCAAGGCTCTGTCAGGGTTTTTCTCCAGGTCATCTTCCAAGGAAGGTTTTGGTATCACACACTGCTGCCTAGAGTTCCCGTTTCTGCAGAGGTGAGAGAAGAAGGTGGAATTACATGATTGTACAGTTTATACGTTAATGATTATGGGCTTCATAGGAAAAGGCAGAGATAAAGAGTAGATCAATTGTAACCCGCCCATAGTGGACTAGAAGCTGTGTCCTAACCGTTTTGTGTTGCCTCACTAACCGTTTTGTGTTGCCTCACTAACCGTTTTGTGTTGCCTCACTAACCGTTTTGTGTTGCCTCACTAACCGTTCTGTGGTGTCCCAGTTTAACTGTAGGGTAAGGCTCTACGGTTGAACGAGAATTCCTGTATTTGTAGACGTTTAATTCTTTGAGATTTTAATCGTACAGAATGCAAATATGTAGTAGGGACACTTAAACAGGGGGGGGGGGGAGAAAAAAAGGGGGGGAGAAAGAGAGAGAGAAGATGGAGAGAGGGAGAGAAAGAGAGAGAGAGAGAGAGAGAGAGAGAGAGAGAGAGAGAGAGAGAGAGAGAGAGAGAGAGACACACAAACAGAAAGAACGTTATCACTGACGAAGTGGCGCCTCAAAGTCTGCCTTTTAGTCAAATGTTGTTTAGTTCAAGTTAAAATTAAACCTGAGAGTATCGAGTTCAGTGTCCATGTGTATGTTACAAAGCTTAGTCTCTCTCTCTCTCTGTCTCTCTGTCTCTCTCTCTCTCTCTCGCTCCATTGCCTTCTGGAGAGTCGCACAAAGCACTAACTCTGTAGCTTCGGCGACTATCCTCAGTGATTACCCTAAAATTTGCGGCCGTGAACCGAATGACATATCAGTGAAACGAACCCACGAGCTTCAGAGGGTGAGGCAGATGGCTTGACCACTTCGCCACGATGATCCCCCAAGTTCACGGATTGCCAGTCCATGGGTCGCGACTTCAAATGGAGTCTGCCCAAAAGCATGCCGTAAAAGTCGACTAATTATGAGCCTTCTTAGAAGTCAGAGTGCATCTGCCTGGGAGGCAGGGAACCAGCAGTCTGCATACAAATTAGTCAGATTTGTAAAACGGATGCACACTTAGGTTCTGGAACAAGACTGCCGTCCAGAAGTGGATGAACAACCAGAACTTTATTTATTGAAAAGAAAACCTGGCGATGAAAAGAACTTGTCACCACAAGGAGGAGGAGGAGGAAAAGAGAAAACAAGATAAAGAAGAAGAAGTTATAAGCTATTTACATGTTTTAAAAAGCTGGCGAGGAAAAGAACTGGTAACCACGCAACATAAGTATTGAGAATCAACGTATAACGCATTCTTTTACTTTCCAGCGTTCGGAGCATCTGATGTTCATTGCTGCAGATATCACCGGCCTCCATTCATCTCTCTGATTGGTCTTCTCTTTCCAGTTGGTAACACCAAGTGTTTGCAGGTCTCTCTGGACATTATCTCTCCATTGTCTTCTTGGTCTGCCTCGTGGTCTACGACCATTCATCTCCCTTGGTATACAGTTTGTACCTTTCTGTCATTTAACATTCTCACAATATGCTCAAGGCGTTTCAGTCTATTAGATCTCATGATGCCAGTGATCAATAGTGATTTGAACAGATTATGAATTTCGTTGTTGCTTCTCACTCTCCACTTCCCGCAGTCTGCATCTTTGATGGGTTCAAAGATTGGTCGAAAATGTGTAATGAGGCTTCATCGCTTTTAGATGTGCTCCAAGTTTCAAAAAGATTGGTCTTATCAACATTTTATATATTTTGATCTTGATGTTGCGAGATAGAGATTTTGACTTTAGCAGATGTTGAAGGGCATAGTATACTTTATTTCCAGAACAGATTAGTCAACGATATAAGCTTTAAGACTTACTTCTCCTGACGAGTGACCAGCATGTTTATGTCTACTGGGGTTTGGGCTGTGTCTGAAACATTCTTGGCAGATCTGTTAGATAACGCGTGGCTTATGCCCAGATTAGTACCGAGTCCACCGTGTTGGTCTGTCCAGGTCAGGCTTGGTCGATGTGGCGGCGCAGAGCCCTGATATACAATGCCGAAGGTGTCCCGGATAGTCCGGTATTTTCCCATTCTGTAGATTGTAGGTTTTCCTAGTTGAGGCACTTCAAGCAGAGTTGATCGTGGTCTGTATTTGAAAGATATCTTACCCTGTCCTGTGGTCGACGTCAACGTGGAGTCATTTTAAGTCCTGTTTGACTGAATTTTACTAGAAGTCCCACACAGTTTCTACTTCCGGTCTATATAACAGATAGTCAGGCAATTTGTTTTAAGTCATTGTGAGTTTTTGTTTCTGACAATTATTAATATTTGCATTTTCCACAATATGTGGACTGATAGAGAATGGTTCTGTTGCCCAACTACCGAGCGGATTGCATAGTTTGATGCTCTGACCTACATATTTCATGTGGAATGTTTTTTTTTAACAGTGCCTAACGTGGTTTGTGTTGTGAACTGTAGACACACAACATGGAGCCAGCTAGTTCACAACTATTTTTTTCATAACGTCTTTTAGACCACTATTTATAATTTTACAATTTTGAGTATTTTACTTTGCTAAAAGTACTAACGGCTTTTTTTTTTTGGGGGGGGGGGGGGGAGGGGGGGGGGGTATAATTACCAACCCGGTCGCAGGCGATGCATAAAAACAATCAATTATAAACACAAGAAACATATTTCCTCGACGCCAAGAAAAGTTACTGCACTCTTTGATCTATAGACTGATCGACCAGAGAACCAGAACGTTCGTGGGCTTACCTTGTATTATCAAAGTCGCCGACAGACACTGTGCCCTAATGTCTGAGTTTGTCCGCAATACTTCCGTTGCTTGCAGCTCAACGATTTAGCGACACTGGTTTCTGTTCATCACTGTTCAGGTTATCGCTCTTTTGGATGTTATTTTTTGGATTATGTGTTCATACGAACGTAATGGTTATGTAGGTTAGTTTGACGTTAGTCTCTCCAAATAGAGTAGGTCACTTTTCATACATAAGTTTGTTAGGCTGGTCGACTTTATTGAAGGTTACGGGTGTGTCCCGCTCTATTGTTTGCTTTCTGTGGTGTTTTGCATTTACGTTTTCATTCTGAGCAAGAAAATGCATGTGACAAAGGTTGCAGCACTCTCCAAGAGGGTTGTATTAGACCCAGTTTTCCATGTTTTTTTTTTAGTGTTAAAAGCGCTTGCATGCTGAAATATACAACACACGAAATAAACGGCATTGCGGAAATTCCCCGTAACCGTGCGGGAAGGTTACGGGGCTCGGGAACTACCAATCAGAAGAGGGTATATTGGCGGGATTTGGGGAGACGAACGTCGAACTAACCGGTTTTGTGTTCTGATATTGTATCAGCACAAGAAACGGATTAGAGAGTCATTTTACACTAGCCTGGCCCCAGTCATAATTGCTCGGCCCGCCAGTCATAATTGCTCGGCCCGCCAGTCATAATTGCTCGGCCCGCCAGTCATAATTGCTCGGCGGGCCATAGTTTTAACCGAGGTTCTTAGTCCAGGTTTCTGCTTCACTGCAATCGGGTCACACAAAAAGTTCTTTGTTCCTGTGCCAGGGGAAATCAAATGAAATATCCCTCGCCGTCCCATCTGAAAAAACTGGTGAACAAATAATTAATCCTATAATTTGCCCATTTCTGGTCCTAACTGTAACTGTATGTAAGACATCATACACACGCACACACATGCAATTACCTGTCAACGCGGACCCCTTTAGATGGGTCCTTGGGATCCTTGTATGTGATGTAGATAGCGTCACGCAATGCGGCTGAAGGGCTCTCATCGAAGTAGTTGTGGGGGGAGAGGAAAACGCTCATGTGGCTGCCCACGGTTGCTGCATTGGGGATGTCCTCGGAGCGTGGGATGTGGTGGCTGCCGGCAGTGACCCAGAACACCAGATCCTGGGGGTCAAAGAGAGGGATTCAAGTATCAAGTGAAACATATATGACTGGATGACGATGTAGCTTCTTCTTCTTCTTCGTCTTCTTCTTCTTTTTTCCTTCTTCTCCCAATCTTCTTCACCCTCGTCTTTCTGTTATAATTTTTTTTTAAATTTATGATAACATATGTTGATTATTTGAATTTTTAAACAAAACCTACAACATCAATGATAATTATAGAAGCAATAATAATAATAATAATAATAATAATCGTCATCATCGTAAACATAAGGTTAACACCGCTGACATCATAGTACATTTAAACAGGTAGCTGCATATCCTTTAGATATCGTGGCAAACATCCCAAGCACATGTTGGGTGTTGTAGTTTTAAGAGGTAATTTTACATTCAGTAGTTTGCCATTAAAAGAGGAGAGGGACGTTAAGCAAGCGGTAGTCCAAGAACAACATAGGAAGATAACACCAGTGAAACTCAACAGCGCCACGATATGTCTATGATTGAAACAGTCAGAAGAGCACGAGGCAGGAACTTATATCTCCCTTGACACCAGAAGCAGTTAAAAAAAAAAGACGTAAAGAAGAAAAGAAGAAGTTTGCCATTGTTTCTGAAAGGTTTGCCTCCCACAACATTGTCAAAATAATCGCAAAGCAGTCTGCTGCCAACTCTACCACAGCTGACTTCCCACCACTGTATGTTAGAATAAAGAAACCATTTAGACACATTCTAAGCTGACTACAAACAAACAAAAGAGAGCTTAATAAAAGCTTATAAAAAGTCCACATGGAAGCGGATTTGTCAACGAATAAATGAAGGATAAACGTGTTACCTGCAGTGTTGCCACTTTGGATGTTTTCCATCCAGATTTAGATGTTTTCGCTTTCATTTAGATGGCGTTTTTGATCTTTAAATGGTAGATGTTTTTCTAGATGTTTTTCATTTAGAGTGAATTTATCAAATCTAACCTAAGAATCAGGATACATTTGACCTCTTAATTGCTATCTTGACAATAAAAGTTTGCCTGATAAGGGTAGGAAAAGGCTGTTACACTTATCAGCTCCCTGATTGGGTATTACAAGAAATTGGAACAGCTGAAGCATACCAGTCATTTTGGATCTGAAGCTTCTACTTCATCATCCAAGCTAAGTTTATCCTGTGGATCTTGTAATGCAGACTTCAGTAAAGATGAGGACATGATTCTATAGGGTAAGTCATGTCAATTGCTATGTAATTTTTGACTCTTTTCATTTGGATGTTTTTTCTAGATGTTTTCCACGCAATTTTAGATGCTTCAAGATATTTTTGGACTCCATTTTGGATGTTTTTAGTCAAAGAAAAGTGGCAAAACTGGTTACCTGATCAACAATATTCTCATCGTCTTCGTAGTATTTACTGAAGTCCACAGCAGGATCTTGGCTGTCGAGGAGGGCGTAGACCGAGCTGCTGGAGGCTTCCTCTTCTTTATGTTTGGTGACCACAATCTGGTGGCGGGCCCAAGGGATGGAGTTCTCATTGGCCAGGTCGCTTTCCAGTAGGCTCTTGGCCACGTCACGGACTTCAATTCTGTATTTAACAAAAAACACTTCGTGGTACACCTTCTTTGATGTTCTGATTTAAGAATCTAAGCCATATCACTCGGGACCTTTCCATAAGAGCTCTGTCTGTACCTTCAGCAGCAAGTTGGGTGCTTTTTTAATATCCTACCCAAAACAGGGGAAATCCACAGGTCACGGGACAGTCTAATATTTCAGGGGGTGGTAGATAGGCTGCATGCAGTCGGGGAACCTAGGCTGGACTATCTCATGGGACGTAAGTGGGTTAGGGTTAGGACCAGTTCGAGATGTTTTGGGGTCGTTAAAAGCATCAGAGAGCCGGGAAACCCAGTCTTACCACCCTCTAAAATGTTGGACTGTCCTGTGACGTCATCTGGGGGTATGATATTACAAAAGAACCTCAAGTTGCAGGTACTATGCTACCTAGAACTGTCTGATTGAATGACCGTCTCACCCCTTCCCTGAGTGTTGAGCGTCGGCCAGATCCACTGGTGACTCCCCCCTGCATCCTTCTCTTCAGACAGTGGTGATCTGTGTATGCCATCGCACTGTTTGCGGGCTTACTAGAGATACTTACAACATCTAGTTCTCATTTAACCAGCCAATCGATCTGGTTGTTCGTTTCCCTATAGACCGGAATCATCCGTTTCTCAAAGCCCAAGTCCAGTTGTACGAATAACCGAGACATTTCAGCAGAGCTTACATCCAGTAAACAAAGAAGAAGATAATTATGCACACAGTCTTCTTTACGCTTTGATCGTGACGTCAGCACAGTAATTGAAATAAATAATACACTAAATAGAAATAAAAATATAATACAACTGTTCTTAGCAATGTAAAGTGTAGGTGCCGACCAAAACCGTTACATTCACGCCTGGCTACTGAGTAAAACCAGCACTCACTTGTAGGGAGAAGTAAAACCAACACTCACCTGTAGGGAGAAGTAAAACCAGCATTCACTTGTAGGGAGAAGTAAAACCAGCACTCACCTGTAGTGAGGAGTAAAACCAGCATTTACTTGTAGTCAGACTTAAAACCAACACTTACCTGTAGTGAGCAGTAAAACTAGCACTCACCTGTAGTCAGAAGTAAAACCAGCACTCACCTGTAGTCAGAAGTAAAACCAGCACTCACCTGTAGTCAGAAGTAAAACCAGCATTCACCTGTAGTCAGACGTAAAACCAGCACTCACCTGTAGTCAGACGTAAAACCAGCACTCACCTGTAGTCAGACGTAAAACCAGCACTCACCTGTAGTCAGACGTAAAACCATCACTCACTTGTAGGGAGAAGTAAAACCAACACTCACCTTTAGGGAGAAGTAAAACCAACACTCACCTGTAGTCAGAAGTAAAACCAGCACTCACCTGTAGTCAGACGTAAAACCAGCACTCTCCTGTAGTCAGACGTAAAACCAGCACTCACTTGTAGGGAGAAGTAAAACCAACACTCACCTTTAGGGAGAAGTAAAACCAACACTCACTTGTAGGGAGAAGTAAAACCAGCACTCACCTGTAGGGAGAAGTAAACCACCACTCACCTGTAGGGAGAAGTAAAACCAGCACTCACCTGTAGTCAGACGTAAAACCAGCACTCACCTGTAGTCAGACGTAAAACCAGCACTCACTTGTAGGGAGAAGTAAAACCAGCACTCACCTGTAGTGAGGAGTAAAACCAGCACTTACTTGTAGTCAGAAGTAAAACCAACACTCACCTGTAGGCTCTCTTTTCATTGTACTTGTTTCGCTTCTCGTTGTTGTGAACGATGTGGTATTTGGGCTGGGAAAAGTCGAAGTCGTAAACAGATTCCTTCTCGGTGCTCTTCAGGGAGGAGTTGAACCTCGTCTGCGAGTAAGCCTTGTCTGGGAACTGCAAGAGAATATAGAATATCAAACTTAAAATTAAAGAGGGAAAGTGCGTGGTCTCGATGCATGGTGTCCGCCTCGAATGCTAGAAGTTCCGGATTCAATTCCCGTTGAAGGCTGGTATTTTTTTTTTACGTGGACTTAAACTTCTAGTAATTCCCCCTCGTAATTGTAATTCTATTATTGTTGCGCACGTAAAAAAAATCCCTTGGCAGTTAGAAATCTTTTGGAAATCGGAAAGAGTAGCCTAACGGCGCTGCCCAGGCCAAATTTGGAGTTAAAAATCTACCCTATGTATTTCAGAATCCTTGTCGGGGCTACAGAGCCTGTGCAGTGTGCTGAGCTTTTTCGGACTCAGACTTGAGTTAGAAGAAGAACGGAGCACTTATGGGTTACTACCCGTGTGCCATGATGTTGATTCGTTGTTCAAAACCTGAAATATCAAACCTAATAATAAAATCCAACACATAGCGATGTATCGGACACATCCTGGGAAGAATCAAGCAGATAATCACCAAAAAGGCACTATTATGGGCGCTTCCTTCGAAGCTATAAACCCAAAGCCTGCATACAGATAAGTCAGATTTGTAAAACGGATGTGCAGGCAAAACCCAAGTTCTGGAACATGACCAAAGTTAGGAAGTGGACGAACAACCAAAACTTTCCACCGGAGTTTACAGCCGGTGAAGGTGAAGAAGGTGATCCTCAGACTCACCCCCTCTCTCACTTTCTCTCTGTCCCTCTCTCTCCGTCTCTCTCCCTCTCTCTCACCTCTCTCTCTCCCTCTCTTTCCTCTCACTCTCTCCCCCTCTCTCTTTCACCCTCTTTCTCTCCCCCTTCTCTATATCCCTCTCTCTTTATCACTCTCTCTCACTTCTCTCTCTCTCTCTCTCTCTCTCTCTCTCTCTCTCTCTCTCTCTCTCTCTTCTCTCTCTCTCCGTCACCACCAAGTGGTTAAATGTTGAATGTTGCATTGAGAATCGACATCACAGCACTCGGGACACTCCTATAAGCGCTCCGCCCTCATTTTCAGTAGCATGCGAAGAGTGAACATTTCGATGGTACCAGTAACTGTCTGATTGTATATCCGTCTCGCCTTGGTCCCTGAGTGTCGAGCGTCGGCCAGATCCCCTTGTAACTCCTCGCAGTGCTATTCTACTCAGACCGTAATGATCTATCTGTCCTTCGGCACTGTTCACTCGCTCCAAGTGAGAAAAGCATACAGTAAAAAGCATTATCATTATCATACTCAAGCCACTGACCGCGGTGGACATGACTGTCTCCTGCTTGATGTCCAGCGTCTCGTATCTGTTAGACTGACCATTAGTATCGATATCTATTTTGATGTTGACCATATCTTGGTGGATGTTTCCTAGGAGCTTGTTATGGACTCGATGACCGTAGGGTTGCTCGGACGAGGCGAAAAACGAGGTGATGATGTAACCTGTTTGAAGTAGAGAGAAAACATTATTGTTGCTGTCGATATAGCATGAAATGGTTTTAGGAAGCAAAGGCGGCTACTGTGATAATTATGACGTCAGCTGACTCAACGCTTCCCAGCCTATTCCGAATCACCATCCCGTTTTCAGAGGCAAAGTGACCCGTAAAGTTTACAAACTTACAATAAAGGTTATAGATGTTCAATTTGGCCGCCCTCTGCTGTTCGGCAAACATTTAGACGGTAGCCGAACTCACCCCACACACAAAAAAAGCATCTCTTGCGTGACTGAGTTCACTGCCCATGTGATATGGTTCTGCATCTGCAGCTGCCCTCTAGCGGTAGTATCTGAAACTTTAGACCACCTCTCTCTCTCTCTCTCTCTCTCTCTCTCTCTCTCTCTCTCTCTCTCTCTCCCTCTCTTTCTCTCTCTCTCTCATTTATATATATATATATATATATATATATATATATATATATATATATATATATATATATTATTATGTAATGTCTATTCAAGGAAATACATCTGAATGAAAATATATCCACCATTTTGAATAACCCCGTATTGTTTTCAATGTGAGAAAACCTGTGAGATACTCTGTGCAGTTATTTTATTGTTGGCTGCGCAGTTGCCCTTTTTTTTAAGCGTGATGAAATAAAACGATACCCAGATTGTCAGATTCCTGGAAAGAGGCTCATTCGATTAGTATCTAGATACGCTTTATAACCCACCTCCTCTCATCCCCACCCCCAGGAAAATAGGAAATGATTACCAACCAGAAAAGGTGAGAATATAAATAAACGTACCTGTAGTCTTGGTGCGTGCATGCATGATGCCGTTGGAATGGAAGAGCAAGTCATAGATGACGCTGGCTCCGTTAACCTCCATTGCTGTCCTGTGGGAGCGTGCAAGAAAAGTAGTGGTAATATCTCCTGTGTGAGGGTTTGGTCCCTGTGTAAGGGTTTGGTCCCCTGTGTGAGGGTTTCGTCCCCTGTGTGAGTGTTTGGTTCCCTGTGTGTGGGTTTGGTCCCCTGTGTGAGGCTTGGTCCCCTGTGTGAGGGTTTGGTTTCCTGTGTGAGGGTTTGGTCCCCTGTGTGGGGGTTTGGACCACTTTGTGAGAGTTTGGTCCCATGTGTGAGAGTTTGGTCCCCTGTGTGAGGGTTTGGTCCCCTGTTTGAGGGTTCGGTCCCCTGTGTGAGGGTTCGGTCCCCTGTGTGAGGTTTGGTCCCCTGTGAGAGGGTTTGGTTCCCTGTGTGGGGGTTTGGTCCCCTGTGTGTGGGTTTGGTCCCCTGTGTGTGGGTTTGGTCCCCTGTGTGGGGGTTTGGTCCCCTGTGTGGGGGTTTCGTCCCCTGTGTTGGGGTTTGGTCCCCTGTTTGAGGGTTTGGTTCCCTGTGTGAGGGTTTGGTTTCCTGTGTGTGGGTTTGGTTCCATGTGTGAGGGTTTGGTCCCCTGTGTGAGGGTTTGGTCCCCAGTATGAGGGTTTGGTCCCCTGTGTGAGGGTTTGGTCCCCTGTGTGAGGGTTTGGTCCCCTGTGTGGGGGTTTAGTCCCCTGTGTGAGGGTTTGGTCCCATGTGTGAGGTTTTGGTTTCCTGTGTGTGGGTTTGGTCCCCTGTGTGAGGGTTTGGTCCCCTGTATGAGGGTTTGGTCCCCTGTGTGGGGATTTGGTCCCCTGTGTGGGGGTTTAGTCCCCTGTGCGGGGGTTTAGTCCTCTGTATGAGGGTTTGGTCCCCTGTGTGGGGGTTTGGTCCCCTGTGTGAGGGTTTGGTCCCTGTGCGGCTGGTTTGGTTCCCTGTGTGGGGGTTTAGTCCCCTGTGTAGGGGTTTGGTCCCCTGTGTGGGGGTTTGGTTCCCTGAGTGAGGGTTTGGTCCCCTGTGTGGGGGTTTAGTCCCCTGTGTGGGGGTTTGGTCCCCTGTGTGAGGTCTGGTCCCCTGTGTGAGGGTTTGGTCCCCTGTGTGGGGGTTTAGTCCCCTGTTTTAGGGTTTGGTCCCCTGTGTGGGGGTTTAGTCCCCTGTTTGAGGGTTTGGTTTCCTGTGTGGGGGTTTAGTCCCCTGTGCGGGGGGTTTGGTTTCCTGTTTGAGGGTTTGGTTCCCTGTGTGAGGGTTTGGTTCCCTGTGTGAGGGTTTCGTCCCCCGGTGTGAGGGTTTATTTCCCCAGTGTGAGGGTTTAGATAATTAATTTGTTAACGAATATCCTCCGTGTGAGAAAATTAATTTGTCAATGAAAATCCTCGTGTGAGGGTGTGGAGATAATATTTTGTTAATTTATACCCTCTGTGTATTGGCGTGGATGAATTCTTTTATTAATGAACATTTATAAGTCAAAGTGTTGCAAAATTAATATGTAATGAGGTCTTCAGTGTGAGTGTGTTGAAAAATTAATTTGTTAGTGAATATCCTTTGTTTGAGGGTGTCGATTAAAAAAAAATAACTTAAAAAAAAAAAAAAAAAACAAGAACAGACACACTGCCTCTACAACAAGCATGTCGTAAGAGAAGACTAATTGGTGGCTTTCTTGGAAGTCGGAGTGCATATGAGAGGCACAGAACCAACAGTCTACATAAAGTCAGATCTGTAACACGGATGTGCACACAACACTCACGTTCTGGATTAGGACTAGAGTCCAGAGGTGGACGAATAACCAGAACTTAACGCTGGAGTTGATAGCCGGTGTACAAGAAAAACAAGAGGTTTGTCGGTTTCTATGTTACAGCTTTTGTCTTAAGGAGAGAAACCCCCCAACCCCCACCCCCATCCCCGACTGGTTGTCCAGGTCGACTCAGCGTAAAATGAATACTAGTATATTCAAGGGAAGTAAAGGCGGCCAGCATGAGTTTGACCACACTAACCACTGAATGCCGACTGGTCGACAAAAATATGATTCCAGTATCATATGTCCGATATGCCTCGGTGTGGAAAGCCTCTTTTACTTTTACTTCACCCAAGACCCCTTAAGGCGTTAAAATATGCTTGTCATCTGTTTTTTTTTTTTTTTTTTATAATAATAACTAAAGTCTGAAAACAATAGAATCTGGATCTTTTCTCCGGGTTATTCTGGTGTGTTGGGAAATGAACAGGCAGATAGATTGGCTGGCTCTGCACACCTTGGCAGAATATTGATGTGTGATAAGGCAGGCGTGGCTAATGCCCTATGAGGGCACGTGTGCATTGGAAACAGCAAATTGATCATGACAGTCTGATGAGAGTGATGAAGCGAAGAATGACGAGGGAATCTGGCCAATACTCATTACTCAGAGGAAAGGTAAAGCTGGCATTATTGTATTGCAACTCTTTACTGACTGCTGAAGATGGGAACGGAGCGCTTATCGGAACGCCATGAGTGCTGTTCTTGAATCAGGTCAACTCACTGAGGAAACCAGAAGCAATATTGGCACCTGACAATGGCTAGGTACAGACCTGAGGGTCAGCTGTGTGTCCATGATGCCTGCATAAAAGCCACCTTCTTCCTTGGAGTAGGCCAGATGGCGACTCATGGCGTGGCCGTCATTGTTTTCAAAAAGACACATTGCTGCATCGTAAACTTCCGGTTTCTCACTGGATTCCTTCAGGAACGCCTGCAGAGATGGAAGGAAGGGAGTTTACATCAAGAAAATTTGGAGAAACATAAATAATTGAGTTTACTAAAGAAAACTCGGAGACACAGCAAAAAAAAAAAGAATTTATGTATGTAAAGCATTGGAAAAGTAGACGGACAAGAGTACATTGTTGGAAGACTGGGAGAAACGAAAAGAATATAATTTACAAAAACTAGCGAAAACGGAACAAACACAAAAATAGTTTTCTTAGGTAAACCTAGAGACACAAAAAGAAAAGAATTTACTGTGGTAAAATTTGGAGTAAACGAAACGAAAAATTTTTACTTTAGACAAAAATAAAGAAAAATAAGACGAATAGGAAGAAGAAGAAGAAGAAGAAGAAGAAGAAGAAGAAGAAGAAGAAGAAGAAGAAGAAGAAGAAGAAGAAGAAGAAGCAGCAGCAGCAGCAGCAGCAGCAGCAGCAGCAGAAGAAGCAGAAGAGGGAAGCAGAAGAGGGAAGCAGAAGAGGGAAGCAGAAGAGGGAAGCAGAAGAGGGAAGCAGAAGAGGGAAGCAGAAGAGGGAAGCAGAAGAGGGAAAGCAGAAGAGGGAAGCAGAAGAGGGAAGCAGAAGAGGGAAGCAGAAGAGGGGAAGCAGAAGAGGGAAGCAGAAGAGGGAAGCAGAAGAGGGAAGCAGAAGAGGGAAGCAGAAGAGGGAAGCAGAAGAGGGAAGCAGAAGAGGGAAGCAGAAGAGGGAAGCAGAAGAGGGAAGCAGAAGAGGGAAGCAGAAGAGGGAAGCAGAAGAGGGAAGCAGAAGAGGGAAGCAGAAGAGGGAAGCAGAAGAGGGAAGCAGAAGAGGGAAGCAGAAGAGGGAAGCAGAAGAGGGAAGCAGAAGAGGGAAGCAGAAGAGGGAAGCAGAAGAGGGAAGCAGAAGAGGGAAGCAGAAGAGGGAAGCAGAAGAGGGAAGCAGAAGAGGGAAGCAGAAGAGGGAAGCAGAAGAGGGAAGCAGAAGAGGGAAGCAGGAAGAGGGAAGCAGGAAGAGGGAAGCAGGAAGAGGGAAGCAGGAAGAGGGAAGCAGGAAGAGGGAAGCAGGAAGAGGGAAGCAGGAAGAGGGAAGCAGGAAGAAGGAAGCAGGAAGAAGGAAGCAGGAAGAAGGAAGCAGGAAGAAGGAAGCAGGAAGAAGGAAGCAGGAAGAAGGAAGCAGGAAGAAGGAAGCAGGAAGAAGGAAGCAGGAAGAAGGAAGCAGGAAGAAGGAAGCAGGAAGAAGGAAGCAGGAAGAAGGAAGCAGGAAGAAGGAAGCATGGAAGAAGGAAGCAGGAAGAAGGAAGCAGGAAGAAGGAAGCAGGAAGAAGGAAGCAGGAAGAAGGAAGCAGGAAGAAGGAAGCAGGAAGAAGGAAGCAGGAAGAAGGAAGCAGGAAGAAGGAAGCAGGAAGCAGGAAGCAGGAAGCAGGAAGAAGGAAGCAGGAAGAAGGAAGCAGGAAGAAGGAAGCAGGAAGAAGGAAGCAGGAAGAAGGAAGCAGGAAGAAGGAAGCAGGAAGAAGGAAGCAGGAAGAAGGAAGCAGGAAGAAGGAAGCAGGAAGAAGGAAGCAGGAAGAAGGAAGCAGGAAGAAGGAAGCAGGAAGAAGGAAGCAGGAAGAAGGAAGCAGGAAGAAGGAAGCAGGAAGAAGGAAGCAGGAAGAAGGAAGCAGGAAGAAGGAAGCAGGAAGAAGGAAGCAGGAAGAAGGAAGCAGGAAGAAGGAAGCAGGAAGAAGGAAGCAGGAAGAAGGAAGCAGGAAGAAGGAAGCAGGAAGAAGGAAGCAGGAAGAAGGAAGCAGGAAGAAGGAAGCAGGAAGAAGGAAGCAGGAAGAAGGAAGCAGGAAGAAGGAAGCAGGAAGCAGGAAGCAGGAAGCAGGAAGCAGGAAGCAGGAAGCAGGAAGCAGGAAGCAGGAAGCAGGAAGCAGGAAGCAGGAAGCAGGAAGCAGGAAGCAGGAAGCAGGAAGCAGGAAGAAGGAAGCAGGAAGAAGGAAGCAGGAAGAAGGAAGCAGGAAGAAGGAAGCAGGAAGAAGGAAGCAGGAAGAAGGAAGCAGAAGAAGGAAGCAGAAGAAGGAAGCAGGAAGAAGGAAGCAGGAAGAAGGAAGCAGGAAGAAGGAAGCAGGAAGAAGGAAGCAGGAAGAAGGAAGCAGGAAGAAAGGAAGCAGGAAGAAGGAAGCAGGAAGAAGGAAGCAGGAAGAAGGAAGCAGGAAGAAGGAAGCAGGAAGAAGGAAGCAGGAAGAAGGAAGCAGGAAGAAGGAAGCAGGAAGAAGGAAGCAGGAAGAAGGAAGCAGGAAGAAGGAAGCAGGAAGAAGGAAGCAGGAAGAAGGAAGCAGGAAGAAGGAAGCAGGAAGAAGGAAGCAGGAAGAAGGAAGCAGGAAGAAGGAAGCAGGAAGAAGGAAGCAGGAAGAAGGAAGCAGGAAGAAGGAAGCAGGAAGAAGGAAGCAGGAAGAAGGAAGCAGGAAGAAGGAAGCAGGAAGCAGGAAGAAGGAAGAAGGAAGAAGAAAGAAGGAAGAAGGAAGGAAGAAGGAAGAAGGAAGAAGGAAGAAGGAAGAAGGAAGAAGGAAGAAGGAAGAAGGAAGAAGGAAGAAGGAAGAAGGAAGGAAGAAGGAAGAAGAAGAAGGAAGAAGGAAGA